CATCACTAACATTAACGAGAATGTTTAGAAGCCTCTTTTGAGCTTGCTTAATACTGAAAGATTAAACAAGATAAAAAGCCACATATTATTGGATAAATACCTTATTTTGAGTCTGGCTCAAAATAAAAACACAAAAATTACTCATTTTCTTATAAACAACTAAAGGAAAACATGTACCAAAGAAGATTTATTCTCAACTGTAATTTCTTTAATAAAAACAATGATTTATGAAAAACATTATGCATACTGGAATGGCTACTTTAAGTGGAATAAAAAACATTTTGGGATAAAGTCACAGAGATCTTTCCACATACGAAATCCTGCACTGCATAATTCATAATCAAGATGTTGAAGCCAGAAGTGTGCCAAGTGCTAGAGATGTTAAAAATTGAGTTACTTCCCACGAAGCCAAGAACTTTAAAATATAGTACTCTCTTTCACAATACTTTGCAATGACATGCGGAATAACCATGATAATCTTTTTAATGACACAGAGGGCTTTTTTTGGCTATTGTGACAAAATACATAAAAGATTTGCTAAATGTCAAAGCATTATACATTTTTATTATACAGAACATCGTGCTCCAAATTTGCTTTTTTCTGGGATGACAAGTGGCTGTCAGGATATGCTGTTTGGAAGATATTTTCAAAGACATAAATACCCTTAATCACTTCCTTCAAAGTAAGGCTGTCATTTTGATCATTTTGATTTTGATAATGAGAAAATAACTTCTTTTTGAAAGAAACATGCTCTGGGGAGAATATTTTGAAAAATGGATGTTTGAAATTATTTCCATCATTATATAATCATAGAACTGAAAACAATGTATGCCACCTATAATAATTATCTTATGTGCTCACGTATTAAAAGTGAAAAATACATATTTCAAATCTGATTTTATTTTTAATTTGTTTTTCAGTTACAGTTGAAATTCAATATTATTTTATTGAGCCGTGTTTAATTTGTTCATATGTGGAATTTCAGTAAATCTACACTCATTTATAAAACTACACAAAATTCAGGGCCTTTTGATGGCTTTGCACAAACAACTGATTGATATCAGGGAAGACAGACATCTGGTAGAAGCGTTCCAACAAAAATCTTTGCATAATTGGTGAACGGGATTGAAAAACAAGCATCACAATCCAGCAGGCACAACTAACAATACACATCTACAATGTGGGTGTACGTATCCTTGTGAGGTATCTTTTCCGCTAGGACCACCATTAGAGCCAATTATGAAAAGAAACTGAATTTTTAGAACTAGAACCTAAAATCATGTTTTTCAAAAACAATGTGCATATTCAGTCATGTGTTTGCAATGATAATTTTAAAAAATATAATTGCTTATTTCATCTTTGTCTCATCCTTTTTAAATTTCAATTTGTTCCTGTTTAGTATATAACTCATGTATATAATAAATAAACACACATTAATTAGGACCATATGGCTATTTTGAGCAATGATTTCTTGGATATGATACAAAATACAGAGGCAGTAAAGGAGAAAATAGATAAATTGGACTTCAAAATTACAAACTTTTGTGCATCAAAGGACACTATCAAAAGAGTGTAAAGACAACTTACAGAATAAAAAATATATTTGCAAATTATATATCTGATAAGGGATTAATATCCAGAATATATTTAAAAATACTTTAGCAACTCAACAACAACAAAACAAACAACCCAATTTTAAAAATGGGTGAAGTACTTAGATAAACATTTCTCCAAAGAAGATATACAAATGAGTCCATAAGCAGACGAAAAGATGCTGAACATCACTAGTTGTTATGGAAACGCAAATCAAACCACAATGAGATACCACTTCATACCATTAGAATGACTATTATTAAAAAGAAAAAAAGAAAAGAAAAGGTGTTGGTGAGCAAGTGGAGAAATTGGAACCCTAATACATTGCTGGTGGGAATGTAAAATGTTGCAGCCGTGTTGGAAAAGAGTATGGATGTTTCTCAAAAAGTGAAATATAGAATTACCATGTGATCTAGCAATTCTACTTCTAGGTATATACCTACTAAAAATGAAAACAGAGATTTGAACTGATATTTGTACACCAACGTTCATAGCAGCTTATTTACAATACCCAAAAAGGTGAAAACATCCTAAATGTCCATTGACACATGAATGTGTAAACAAATGTGATGTATACATACAACGGAATATTATTTGGCCTTAAGAAGGAAGGAAATTCAGAGACATGCTACAGAATGAAAGAACCTTGAAGATATTATGTAAAGTAAAAATAAGCCAGACTCAAAAGAACAATATTGTATAATTCCACTTATCTGAGGTACCTAGAGTAGTCAAATTCAGAGAAACGGTAAGTGGAATGGTGGTTGCCAGGGGCTGGGGGAGGAGGAAATGGTAAGTTACTGTTTAATGGGAACAGCATTTCAGTTTGGAAACCTGAAAAAGTTCTGGAGGTGGTTGTACAACAGTGTGGGTGTACTTTATACCACTGAACTGTACACATTTAAATGATAACTTTTATGTTATGTATATTTTACCACAATAACAAAAATTTTAAAAGAGTACATGACTAAAATGTATGTACATCTGAAGGATAGGCAGACAGACAGCAAGGGTAGATAATGGAAACTCCGTTATCCTCAGAGAAAGAAAGGAGGTGGGACAGGAAATCTGTCTTGCAATTAAGACATGGAGGCATATTTCCCGTGTAACTCTTTGAAGGATACAAATATTGGGCACCCTGGGAGATACCAGCAAGACATTCTCCTAGACCACGAACATGGAGGCTTTTCTCAGTATCTATCCTGCCTGCCTCCATCTTCCCAGATTCTGTTCCGACCATGTTTTCAACTTCATGGCAGCTGCTACATTGGCCGGTGCTAAGGACTTCTGATAACTGATAAGAATGCATCGGTGAATGTGGTAGGAGGATCTATGCCACCTTTCCCAAGCATGCAAAAGGAGCTACATTCAGGCAAAAGTCTCCCCACGTGCCTGACACCACCCAGGAATGAGTCAGGAGCAATGAAATAATGGTCTTCGCATTGCTGAGCAACCATCCAGAGCTTAACTATGATTAATTATTTTAAGCAAACTTCGCCTGCTCATGTTTCTTCCCCCAAAGTCTGCGTTTTGAGATCTTATTTAAATTGAGATATTTGGAGTTAAATGTTATTAACAGTGAAACAAACAACATAGGGTAATTCTTCTAAAAGAAATTTAAATGAAATGTAAAACCCTATAGTGCTTTCAACTTAAAATATCATTCTATGCCTAGGGCAAAAATCAAAGACAATGTCTCCTTTTATTAAAGATCACCTGGAAAACAGATAATATTTAATATGTAGAATGATAAATCTACAAAGAATAAGAAACATCAAAAGGCTGCTGTTAGAATCTGTGGTGTAGCAGTAGTTAAACACTGAAAAACCAGTAAAAATTTCATATTTAAAGCAAGCATGCTAATCTCCAGATATAGAAGTTATAGAAATCTTACATTAAAAAAAATTCTGACAGTACATTTTTATATCGATATTAATGCATTTTCTTTTACAAAAGATAAATTTGATGTCAGCAGCTCTGCTGGCTAGAATACAAAATTTAAAAGCACAGAGAGGAAATCAAATGTAATGGGAATATGGGGTGGAAAAATCCTCCTTTTACATTATTTCAAAATTTCCTCATTAGACAGTAACTCATTTCTATATCCCCAGAACCTTTTGACAATGCCTGGCACATAGTAGATGTTTCATAAATATTTGTTAAATGGATAAATAAAAGAACAAAGTTAGGCATCCATTAAATTAATTTCAAAGAAAAACGAACAAAAATAGGCTACAAAATTGCTCAGTTACAGAAGTGAAACCCCATCTCACCAGAATGGCATGCTTGGCACGTGACTAGTTAGTGGCAGAGTTTCAACTTAGACTAGTCTCTTCGTGCCTCTCCCCGGAAATTTGTGCTCAAATCACTTAGGCTTTCAAGAGCAGAGTGGAGACTATCCCTTTCTACTGCTCTCTCAAGTTCTTCTCTAGCTATTCCCCAATAGCCAAGAGAGGCAATGGAAAAGAGGAGAGCACCCCTGTTCTCTTCAGCCCGCTAGAAAGAATGGAAGAGGAAAAAACGTCAACAGAAGTGGGAGCAGATCTTGAAAGGGCAAGGAAGAAGAGAGAGACATAAGAAGAATCATCCTTATTGATCTGAGGATTCACCACCATTTTCACAATTTGCTTCATTTGCTTAGAATTAATGTTCTGTGACGTCCTTTTCAGTACTAACTTTCAGTATCAAAGAACCGAATAAAATCCTAAATGTTTTTTTCTATACCAAATGTACACCATATTATTGAGCCTAAAGGACAGGCACTACTATATACCAAGTCGAAAATAATGTTTTATAAAATTAGGATTTTTTTCCAATGACCTATTTTTCGGGTAATAGTAGTTAAATCTCAAGAATTACCAAAAAAAGACTAAACAATTTTTACTAAAAAAAATTAAATGAAAGTTTCCATGTTTATTCAAAAACATGTAAGAACGAAGAAGAACCAATCGTAAAACACAAATAATATTTAGATTCTAAAGAAAATAGGAACATTGCATTTGTTTTCAAATAAGTTGTTACAAAAGAGATGATCTAGTTAGAAAGCGCTGGCCAGTGTATATGGTAGAAAAGCAATAGGCACCCTTCTGCTATCCCTTCAGTTTTAGCAGAGTTAATGCTGAGGTTTATCATCAGCAGATTCCCCAAACTCATCTACAGGATTTGCTAATTCAGTCATGAAAATAAGCATACAGTTCAGGTATCATGGAAGAATACAATGGTATTTCCCTCTCTTTTTATAGTGCAATGCTTTAGTTTTCACAGTAATCTTTATGGGGTGGGAAGGGTTGTAAGTGGAAATGAGAGTTATTTCCAAGGAAATAAATGCCTTATGGCATATTTAATATAAAACAAAACGCCTGTCTCCCAACATCTATTCAGCGAGTGCTGGTTAATACTTTCCTTACCTGATATACATGGTCCCGATTCTCTTTCTATACAGCAGAGACTGTTACGCTGGCCAACCGTTTCCAAAATCTATCTGTTGAGAATTACAAAGAATGTTAATAGATGCTACAAGCAAAACCAGATCTGTCATTTAAAAGTTTGAAAGACCCTGGCTGAAAGAGAATGAAAGTGGTTTGTTTGCTACCAGCTTTTCATATTCCCTTAATATTCTCATGTGAATAGAGAAACTCCAAGAAGGTGGTCTAATAAGAAGTGTTTTCCAAAAGATTTGGCACCTTTTTTCCTCAAAGCACCTTTGAAGGGGCAATGTGGTTCCCTCTGCTTCTCTGATAGGAAAGGCACCTGACGCCCTTCTTAGCTCTAACTCCTGAGGGGAAATCAATTCTCCTATTACTTTCCTATTTACAATCTGTCAGCAGTTTAAAATACTTTAGGGCATTTGAAGGATTTAACACAAAATCCTGATTTGGGCTTGTAAAATCTGGCCCCTGAATGAATCTGCAGCTTTTCCTCTTCATTGTCTTCAGGTAAGCCCTAGAGGGCACTGTCTCTCTCTGGGCCTTTGCACGGTCCTTCCTCCCTCCTGCAGGAGTTGCTTACCCGCCTGGGAACAGCTCCTTTTCCGGCTCCCCTCCCCCTGGCCTCAGTGACGTCACCCCCACCCCCAGCCACCACCCCCATCTGGTGTGGGTTCCTGTGCCAGTGCCACAGTTTTCGAGACTATCCTCTGTCTCTCAGGCGCCGTCTGCATAGCAGGTAGTGTATAAATGTTTGCTGAAGAAATGGATGGATGGATGGATGGATGAAATTTTCACCTAACAGAAGGGATGGGTATGGGGAAGGGAGGGGTTTAATGTCAACAGAATGTGCAAGAACACTCTGCTATGGTTTTTATGTGCTATATTTTGCTGCCTCTTTAAATAACCAAGGACTGGCCAAAACCCTGCCATTTATGGTCAAGAGAAAATTTCATTTTTATTTTTCACTGTATTTGACATATAAACATCCTACTGCATAAAATCTACACACACATTCTTCCACCCACTGGTGAGTCATTCATCTATGATTCTACTTTCCTGCTACTACTAGATTCCCTTTCTTGACACGTGAGGTCTTTAGCGAGAAGCTGAGTTTTCCAGTATTGTAGAAATGTTTTTTTTTAAGAGGAAGGAAAAATAATGATTCCAAATAAGCATCCAACTATTTGTCGACTGGTACAAGCACGCTTTATGAAGCAGGATGGGTCCGAATAGGTATTGGGTTCAGGATTTAGGAACTGGATATTGCTCTATGTAATTGAATTTCACCAACAATGTGTGACTGCACACTTGCAGGAAGCCTGCGAATCCTAACCTGTTCTAACCCTGCACTCCCGCAGCTCCAAGCGACCTCACCGCTGCCAACACCACTACAAACTGCTAATGGAGTTTCCTGCTCAAGCGCAACGGAAAGGTTGTGTGCTAAACTGCCAATTAGTAAGAAGGAAGAAAAAGGCCGCAATAATTTTCTGAAATCATAAACTGGGAAGTTTACTTTTTTACTTCCTCATCCAGTCTCTTTTGTTTCCCCCTTCAGTTTAATGTAAGTCCCAAAGAGAAATTTAAAACATGTCCTAACTTACTCACATATGGATTATAGTAATCAGAATCAAGGCTGCATTTATGCACAGAGAAAGTAACCATCTATTTTGTGTGACCACATAAATGATGTGCTTCCCTTCTCAAAAATAACACACTCCCACCTATCTTGAGAGCATGAAAAATTGAGAACTAGAGTCTAAATTAAGTCCTGTCTTCTTGGAGAAGTCTGTCAGGTTTGGCTTTCTGCAATATAATGCTTTATATTAAAATTACATTTCCCTCTCTCTCTCTCTCTCTCTCTCTCTCTCTCTCTCTCTGCACACACACACACACACACACACACACACACACACAGTGCCAAAAAAATGTATACACATTTTAAGAAAGAAAAAACTATTAAAATTGTAACACTTCTTGGAATTAAAATCCGTCATTCCCAAAACCATCTTTTGAGCAAACGTCATACTGCACGTTGCAACCATAATTCAATTGAACCTCGAAAAGTAATACATAGATAACATCTTTTAAAATATGTATACATTTAAGTGTGTGTGTGTGTGTGTGTGTGTATTCAAACAAGTATAAAGGCACTAGATACCTAAAGGTTAAATTGTTTTTTAATGGTTTTTGAAAACTAAGACTGTAACTCTAAAACAGTGGTTCTCAACCTTTCACAGGGGTCACCTAAGACCATCGGAAAACACATATTTTCAATGGTCTTAGGAACTGAGACACCACTCCTCTATCCGTCTCCAGGCCTACATGCAGATACGCCCACATACGAGTATCCGGCGACCCCTGTGAAAGGGTCATTCGACCCCCGAAGGGGTCGTGACCCACAGGTTGAGAACTGCTGCTCTAAAGACTACTTTGTAGTGTTGTTTGGTGATAGAATTGGTTTGAATTTTATGTACATAAAAATTATATATATATATATATATATAAAAATACAATTCACTTTTGTCTGATCATTTAATCTACCTTTGGGGGACTTATTTCCCCAAAGTGAAGGTGTTGGATGAAATGATGACTATATCATGTCCAACACTTGCATAGTATTTATCTACTATGTACAAGGCACTGGACTGGCCATAGTATGAAATATAAAGATGCAATAGGAGGCAGGGACTGGGACTTCAAGGACATCATTGTCTCCAAAAGCAAATTATTCCTAGGAAAAATTCATCCTGGAGTATTCCTTCCTGGGTCAAGGTCAACTGCCAGGGGAAAAGCACTGAAATTTATATTTCAAGGGGGGAAAATAGGACCAATTTCTGGCATGATTTTTTAAACTCCTCAGTGTCAAACTTGGACTGAACATTTCAAGACCTTTGACCACCTAATAATGTTATTTGTCAATATGAGAAATCGGAGAAAAGAATGAGCCACAAATTTAGGGTCTTACTAAATGGGCACATTAGGTATTAATTTGCATAATATGGGTATATTCTGAGTCTTGGGATGTTTAGTACAACACACTAGATGAAAAGTTGTGATTGCACATTTATATTTTTAAGACAAAATAGATTCTGCCAACTCCTGAGCTAAAGGAACAGAAAATATAAGCACACATAATGAAGACTGTAGAAATTTGATATAAAAAGGATGTATTATGTTGCCTGATACATCTTCCCATCAACATGTTCATTATAATATGTTTTTTTGTTCTATCCTATTCAGAATTTCTAGCTGTCTGTCTGTACATTGATTTTATACCTCCCACCACAAGGCTTAGAAATGTTGACAAGCATCTTCCCATACTCTAAAATGATGCAATGTGAGGAGGAGGACATTTCTAGTGCTTTAATCTCCATTAAAAAAAAATGCTCACATGGTTAATTTGTTCAATGTCAAGTCTTTGGTATCTTGTCACTCCTTTTGAATATACTGATATCTAGGCTGAGCTCCTTTCCCAAAAGGGATCCTTAGTACAGCTCTGATTAGATTGAAAATGCTACCAACTAAGCTCTTTGTAGAAGAAGAGGTATGTTAAAAAGGGTGTGGATTATTAGTTTCAGAGATGTATGTGTACCATTCCAATCCATTGTCACCAAGGCCAAATGACCCACCATTGGTAACTGATTCTCTATTGTGGTAAGTTAGTTTCTGATCACGTACCTCCTCTCCTCCCCTAAGTCCCTGCTTCTATGTCTAACATCTCTGAGCTCCTCCCTAAGGGAATGGAGTTGTTTCCTTCTTTCACTTTCACATGATTGTGTTGAGTGAGAGGCAGCTGGGCAGCCAAATGACTGCAAAATTTAGAGTTCAGAAGGCCTGACTGCATGCCCTTCCCTTGATGCTTATTACTGTATCACCTTTAGCAATTACTTAATTGGAAGTTCAATTTATTTCTCAGTAAAAGAAAAATTAATAAAATGCACTAGATCTATGATGTGGAGTTGCTGTGACGGGAAGGAACTAGTTGACATGAGAACATTTCATAATCCACTCTGTGACTTGACTTGCTACGGGGGCTAGGGTAAGGCAAGTGACCTGAGCACTGGCCAGACCTTTCCCTCCCATCGCTTCACAGCTGCTGCTCTGCCTCAACTGCACTCCGCCTTTGAGCAAGACCACGTGCGAATGTCCTGGAGGTGAATGGATGCTGGTGCCAGTCCCACTTCCCATGAGCCTGTCTTTATGTTCAGGTCTCTCTGGGGGCAGGACTTGCTGGTACTCGGGCTGGGTTTTGGGGGGTAGTTTCACAACTCTGCTCTGGAGCCTTATTTTTCATAATTGTAAAAGTCAGAACAGGAGTCATTTTAAACAGATTTTTATCCTCTCTGTGCCAGAACACTGTTCAACAAACAATCATTGGTGCTCAAATCAAACAAAAATATGATATTATGTAGTTCTTTGAATGATCAGTGGACTCCTGTTTTTGTCCAGTGTAATTATTAAGTCAAAGAACAACTCATTTGGGGATCAGATATGAGGCCAAGAGTAGTGGAACAGGACAGAGTTCATTCTGCAATATTTTTTTCTCTAAAAAGGTCACTGCTGTTACCTCTATATAACCTGATAAGCTTAAACTGAGACTCCTGAATTAAATTTTCAAGTATTCTGGATCCACATAGTTATCCCCTTAGTCAAATTAGGATTCCAGGGATAGACGTCAATGTCCTGTGTCAGCCAAGATGGGTTCTGACTGGCTGGCTATCTGTCACTGAAGTACAAGAAGCTGAGCCATCACAGCTTCAGAAACTGTCACCTCGTACCGCCCGTGTGAATTGCTCTGCTATGAATACATCTAACTTCCAAAGAAGGAGATAGCACCTCAGAAATCAATCGTTTTTTAAATTATATTCTATATGAATCTTTTCTTATAAATAATATTAGATATCGTTTATGTTACCACATCACAGTAGCCAATACTTTTTTAGAAGTATTTTTATTTCTCTCAATTTTGTTTTTATCATATGATTCAAAATTAATGACATTCAAGTATAAATAATGTTGTCACATATAATCTCAGTGTTGTCACAGGTGAGGACTCCAGGTCATAGCACAATGCTGGTGCAAAATAGATATCTACTGAATGAATGAATGAATGAATGAATGAATGAATGAATGAATGAATAAGTCAATCAATTAATTGATTTTAAGTGACTTGCCCAATCTTGAAGAGTTAAAAGATCAGACTTGAGCCTATAACTCTGGTCCACTGTTCCTTCCACTGCATCATACCCCCTCTGCTCTTGCTAACACAAGGTAAGTTTAAGCTAATCATCGCATCTAATACAGATTTACAAGTACCTGATTACACTTCCTCTCAAGCACATGTGGAAATGTTGATTCCAGATTGCACGGAAATATACTGAAATGGGGTTCATTATGACTAAGAACTACAACAGAAATTCTCTTGTCTTTCTTTCTGCCTTGGATACGCTCCAAAGGAGGTTTAAATTTTGCATTTCAAAACAGATTGTCCCATGTTTCATTCCTGGAACTTTTCTCATTGTTGAGAATCCTAGCAAATCACATGTAACCATACAGTTGTGGGAAGAGTAGGACAGAATGTAATTTGGCAACAATTGTTTACAAATTAGCCAGATATGTTACATAGATTGTGCACCCCTCTTTCAGTAAGTGTAGGAAGGAAAATACAGCAATCACAGAATAAAAATACTTCACTTTCCTTACTGCAGAGCAGTTTCTTCAAAAAGCTGAAGTCTTCAATCATAGAGGATTCCTTTCTCAGGCTATTGTTAGACCTCAGACTATAATGCTATAACATTGGGCTGAGAGAGAACAACATACAACACACGACGAGGAACAGAATGGCCACTAGAGAGGGCAGAAAGTCCAGGTTTTAGCCCTTTCCATAATATTTTAAGTATAATCACAAAGCAAGCTCTAGGCAAGGACTGAAGTGTAAAAGGGTACAGCTTTATTCCCATTACATTTCTTTCACAAAATAATGACCCATTTCTTCTGCACAAAGGTCAGGAGAAGCCAAATAGCATTGCATTACTTGATGAGATCACACCCTGAAGAACATAACTTCAAGCATACCCCATTTATTGATTGGCATTTAAAAGCAGCTAAGATTTTACCATTTAAAAGGAAAGACAGTCAACAATTTGTGTGTGCTATATTCATTTTTTAAACATTAGGATGCTGAGAGCAGTTCTCAAGTGTTTAGTACACACATTTATAGAATCAGAGTAAGGATTGAAACCTACAGCCAATCCCTGAAACACTTACCAGTACCACCTGAGGATGAAGGAACCACCATGGAAGGGAGGAACACGAAACATAATGGATCAAATGGGGTATTAATAAGGCCCAAACTATGGCCTTGGTTTTCCTTATAACCAGTCACCAAACAAGTTGGATCCATTGCAAGCCAGTGGAACAGGAGTGTTGTGCCATTTTCATCACTGTGGTTGTTATTAAAGGCATTTAAGAATGGAAATGTATGATTTCCTAATTTTACCAAAGACTTATAAAAAATGTATCCTCCATCCTACTCACCCTGTACCAATACAATGCAGAGAAACACCACCTACCTCCATTACTGACTTGCACACAAAGCTGCCCTGAGGACCACAAAGCCTTGGACTATGCACACACTTTCGGTGTTCCTCTAAGAGGGTGGGGAGGAGGTGATGGTGGTGGTGGTGCGGGTGCTCAGTGTGCTGGGAGAATGCTTGAGAATCACAGAATTATGTGTTCTTCAGCTGCAAATCTCTCTGGCAGCTTCCCTGTAGCAAATGAATAAAAGGACAAAGGCAAGTCTAAAATTGGTCCTTGCTTCCATATGGCGTCTTCTTCCCATTAAAAAAAAAAAAAAGAAATCAACATCATTTTTAATGCTGGTTCAACCTTTGTTTTCAAAAATTAATGCTGTTCCTCAAAATTGTTAATATTTACTTTTATATGTCAAAATCAGAGATTAAGTCATATAGTCTTTAACAGAACAAGTGTAAAATATGTTATGACCTAATACAGAAAATTTAAAAAAGAAACTACTAAGGCGATAAATTGCCTTGGTTATTGTATTTTCTGGCTAATTGGAGATTTAGCAGAAGAGTGTCTGTTTAAAGGCTAATTGTTTTTACATATTTCTACACTGTTCTAGTTGCTTTCCTGTCTTAGGAAGCACTTCATATTAAAAGTGCTCTGTGACAAGTTCACCTAGTTCACAGGAGAAGTGGGGAGATGGCACCCATGAAGAGAAGTATGCACAGTATTATGGGAATGTCGGCTAGAAGCAGGGGGTGCTCATCACCTCAAAGGGGGTGAGGGTGTAAGGAGAGGGAGAAAGAGAGGGTCTTTACATTTCTAAGACAGTGCTTCTTAACCTTTTTGATGGTCACAAATTCCTTAAACAATTTGATAAAATACGAATCCTTCCCCTGCCCAATTGTATACATAGATGAAATTTTGCAAATAATTCCACCTGGAGCTGCACATGGAACTTGGGTCATGTATGCTTAACTCTTGAAGTTCCTTTATTTACCAAATGTGTAAAAACTAATTTATTTCCTTATTTCCCTATTTCTCCACAGGGTAACATACTGGGGGGAAAAATCCCATCTAAATTTCTAATTAGTAAGGCATTACTTTTAGCCTTAAGTTTTCTGAGTTATTTGTCTTGATAAAGTATTTACTCAAATATTCTTTTTAAATTTCTCTGATACCCTACGAAGCAGGTGGGGAGCAGTGTTACTTATTCTTCCTGGACAGGCAACAAGAGAGCAGAGTTAAGATGCAGAGATCAGACTAACATTCTTGCCCTCTGGCTTCTCACCCTTCCCGCCAGGTCGGCTTCCCACTGCCCTCTGAGAACCTCACCCTGGGCACCCGTGGACATGGGGAAACTGAGTATTTGGGTTTTACCCCGGGTAGCCACTTGTTTCTTGGTTTTACATGTTGGGTTTCTGTTTCTGTTTTTGTTTGAAGAGAGAATTAATTTGGTTGTATTAAATATTTCTTAATGTTTTTGTTTCTTCTTTATTCCACATAGTATTGTTTACTACAAAATATGTAAGTATTATGTGAAAAAATGTAAACATTTGGGTAAAATATCAAACGTATGATATGAGAATGATGTAAAGCTTCATCATAAAAACCCAGATTAAAAGAAGGTAGGCCCCTTGCTTGGTAAGTTTCCTGAACTTAGTAGGAATGAACAAGAGGAGACGAAACAAATCAAAGGATCAGGATTGGTCCTGCTCTCTGGGGACGGTGGGTGCTGAAGCGATGAGCATGAGCTCAGCTCTGTTTCCTGGACAGAGAAGACCAAGCAGATAGAAGGGAGCAACAGGACTAAAAACCGCATAGTGGGTTAAGACAGAGAGGGAAAAGTGCAGGGAACACTTAGGCTGGGCTGGGAGGATAGAGGAGTAGGGGAACCATGTAGAGAAATGATGAGACGGAAGAGAATTGAAGAAAATGTAGAGGACTATATGAAGAAGTAAAACGGTATGGCTTTATGATTGTTTATGGGAATGAGAAAGAAGGAGAAAGGAATAACAGTAATTTACGGGGTTTTAGTTCCATGGACTGGGTGTATGCCAACAAGTGAGTTAGGGATTATAGAATAGACATGAGTTCATAGGGGAAGATGAAGAATTTCATTTGGTATATGCTTACTTTGAGTGGCTGTGGGGTATCCATGGAGAGATATGGACCCAATAGTTGGGTGTATAAGTCTGATATCTGAAGGAAAGTCCTATATGCACTGAAGATATGCGGGGTCACCAGCATCCAAGTGTGTATTAGAGCTATGAGAGCAGAAAAAAAGCCATCAGAGTATGCGATGTGAGAAGAGAGGAAGGTCATGGGTGGGATTCCGGGGAATATTATGGAAAGGCCTACAACAGAGACAGTAAAAAAGGGAGAAGAAAAGAGAGAGAAGAAAAAACTAACTAAGTAGTACAGGGGAAAGGAGTTTCAAGAAGAAATTCACATTCAGCCGAGAAGACTAGTAAGTGGAGGATTGGGATGAATTCTTTGAATTTAGTAATTAAGAAGTCATTGGGAAAGTAACTGAGGGCAGGTTGATAGAGTACATGGAGTGTTGGAGTTTAAGAAATTTGAAATGGAAAATTCAAATGATGTTAAAATCTAGTGGGGAGAGGGGTATGCCTAAGGGCTAGGGCATGAAAGTGGAAAGTAAAAATCAATAAAGTTAAGGCCACAGAACACAAAACTAGATGTGGAGTTGAAATACCCCAGGATGTTTTGTTTGTGGATTTGGGAGAGGATGAATAAGGTGCCAAAGTCTCCAGTGGATGTTGGAGATACCTGGTCCACATAGAAGGGTAAGGAGGAGGGATAGAGTATAGTGTGGTCACGTTGCCCAAGTATTAATAGAGGACAGACATGAGGGGAAGGGTAAAATAATGGGAATCACCAAATGGGGAGCCCAGCTGATGCTAGACAACTCCATCCCCCCATCATCAGCAGGCCTGAAGTATTGGTTATGGGAGAATAATTTGTCCCCTTTGGAGCTGAAAAAGATATGGAATCTTGTAGGAAGGAAGGGTGAAGAGAATGTGCTATGATGTTAAAGAAGCAGAGGGTATTCCTTATAATAGCACATAATTCCCAAGGACCCAGTCAGAAGGGTTGTGGGCAATTAAAGTGGGAGAGTCAGCGATGGGTAAGACTCTGAGCTGAAGAGTAGAGGGTATGAATAGAAGAGGTGATAGGTGATAGGGATGAGATGACAGGAAGCAAGGATGGAATTCATTGGCCTCAATCTTCCAGCTCAAACACAGGCTATTTCGGTGTCCGAATGGACCTGGCATCCCATGTGATTACTGGATCTGGATGGGGTGGGAGGGATGGGTTGCACCTCCAAGCTTCCTGGCTGAGTTTCAATGCTTCCTCAGAGAGAATGGTTACAAGTGAGATTTAACAATTGAGAGTTTCGTCCTTAGGATGGTTAAGCCAAGGATGGAATAAATAGAGACCAAGAGTCTGTCTCAGCATTGACACATGCTTTCTATCCATTTAGGGGTACTATTTTTCCCCTTTAATCACTATCGGGGCACCTTTTTATAAAGCTGGTTTTCATTCACAAACTTGGCTTCTCTGATGTCTGTGGAAAATATATCAGGTACCCTATCTCGATACTCAGAAGTCAAGGAGCAGTAAAGGACGGGGTGGAGAGGGAGATAGAGAAGACAGTGGATGGCTGAGAGGATGACTAGATGAGGAGATGTCATCATTTGAGGACGTGCTTGCTTTTTTCCTTCATTCCAATTTCTTCTTATTTCAGTTCAAAAAGGATAAAGTGTGCTCACTACACTTAGAGTCCCAATTGCTTTCTCTAATCAAGCTCCCTTCTTCCAGAATCCTCAACAGTCTCCTCCACTATCTCCCTTCCTTCATCCATATCTTCATATGTTATTGGGTCTATTTGCCTGGGCAAAGCACTGAGTTTGATGCTAAAGGGAACACAGCAAAATGTCCTTAGTATAAAGGGACAATGATACCTGAGAGGTAATGGGAAAATAGGGCCCTAGAGACGGAGTAAGAAGGCCTAGGAGTGAGCCCTAGCTATTTCATTTAGTAATTTTATGGTTTTGGACAAGATACCTAACCTGATTACCTCAATTTTCTCAGCCATCCTATGGAGATCCATAATAATATACATTTCAGAAGAATTTTATGAAAAGTAAAAGAGATATATCAAAGTGCTTTTGAAATGATAAAACTCTATGTTATGAAATATGGTAAGTAGAGCAACAAAAGTCCAAATCGAGTAGTTTGGATATTCATAGAAGAGAACACACTCCCCAGCACATGTTACAGCTGATACTTTTCTTTGCTTTTATTATTTATAACAGGTATAGAAAGACATAAAACCACAGCTCCGTGTAACAATCCCAGAATTTTTTTTCAGGTAAAGTCTGCTCAATAGTACTGAGAAAACTAAAATTGTAAGTCACAAATATGTCTTCATTATTCCCAGTAAAGGGCTTCAATCAGGCAAGATTAAAATAATTTTATTTATTGAGTCATGGGATAGATAGAAAACTTCTTGTAGAGATAGGAAAATCTTATATATCTTTAGCCTCCAACTTTTGATGGTGACCATGTGGTGTCGTGAGTGAGAATTGTACTTTTTCCATGTCTTGCTATTCTGAAATGTGTTATACCATTCTGAAGTTCCTTCCAACTCCAAATATCTGAATACATGAATAACTTTTGCATGGCAGCAAGTTTCTACACTTGTGAGGAAAAGTCAACTCCATTACTATTTTATAATCTGAAAATTACAAAGGAATGCTGATTCCAGTCCAAGAGAGGCATTTTATCTGAACTGCTTAGAGCACTCGTTATTCATACTTGTGAATCACAGGTCCAAAAACACAGACACAAAACTGTCAGAAAATGCGAATGTCTTTAAAACACCTTTATGTGAGAAATCATTAACATAAGATGGTGAAGCATGCAGTAAAAATGAATTGCATAGCTAAAAGCATAAGCAGGCATTACTCTTAAAGCAACTTCCATATGATTCACATTTATTTAAGTGAGAGAAACATTTGTAATGTGTATTGAATATTGGCTTTGTAGTAAGGATAGTTATAGCCATTATAAATTCACTTCATCCTCACAACCCTCAAAAAGTTTGAGGAACCACCAAACTGTTTTCCACAGTGCGTGCACCTTTTTTTTTAACCTTTTTTAATGGGTTCAATTTGAATGTTTTAAATAATGCAACATAGTATTTTGAGATGACAGT